GTCTACACACTTAACGTTTGGTGACGATATAAGTATAGTTGAGTCATTATGGTGGTTACCGAAGGTTATTTGGAGTCCCGGATGAGATCCCGGACGTGACGAGTAACTCCAGAATGGTCCGTAGGTGAAGATCGATATATTGGACAAAGGGTATTGGAGTCCGGAAATGTTCCAGTGGTACCGGGTGATGACCAGCATGACCGAAAGGGGTTTCTGGGGGCCCCGACAAGTGTTGGGGGGGCTCATGGGCCAAGGGGAGGGGGCAAACCAGCCCACTAAGGGGTTGTGCGCCTCCCCTCAACCTTTCTCACATAACCAAAAGGGGTGGGGCGCCCCCCTAGGGCAGCCATCCCCTTTGCCTTGGGGGCCAAGGCTCCCGGGGGTGGGAGGCGCCCAAAACCCATCTAGGGTTTCCCCCTATGGCTGCCGCCTCCCTAGATGGGATCTAGGGCGCCCCCTCCTCCTCCTTTCCCCATATAGATAGAGAGGTAGAGAGACGGCAGCCGCATCCTTGAGTACATCTCCACACCACGGCGCTGCCCTTCCTCTCCGTAGTGCTTAGCGAAGCTCTGCTGAGATTCCACCACCACCACCGGCACCACGCCATCATGCTACCGGAGGACTCGAGCTACTACTTCACCACTGCTTGCTGGATCTAGGAGGAGAGGGCTTCATCAAGCCGTACGTGTGTTGAACGCGGAGGTGTCGTTCGCTCGCCACTTGGATCGGAGTTCGCAAGACGGATCATGATTGGATCGCGAAGGCCTTCGACTAAATCAACTGCATTTCTTAACACTTCCTCTTAGCAATCTACAAGGGTATGTAGATGCAATCTCTCCTCCGTAGATGTCCTTCTCCTAGATTGATCTTGGTGAGCGTAGGAATTTTTTTTGTTTCCCATGCAACATTCTCCAACACCTCCAACAATCACTCTAGTCGTCGGTATTGCTACCGGTTATAAATAGCCACCCCTTTCAAACAATTTGCGATTGGCTGCTCTGAATGAATTGTGACAAGGGACTGTGTAAGCAAGCCATCCTCCCTAAGAGATTGTGAGAATCCTAATTGAGGGAAAAAAATCCAAAGCCAAAAATCGCTGAGTGGTTGAACATCACCATAGAACAACAATGAAGCACAACTTAACCATTTACTCTTGAGTATTTTGCATCCTCTAGACAGTTAGATGTCTGTGAAGAGCATCCACAATGTGGACTACCGAAGAAAAAGTATGTGAAGGCCCAGGGGCACCTCAAGATCTACCTCGAGTTTTTCTGCATGTTTTAAGTGAACTTAGCTCAAGGATAATATGGTGAGGAATTTCGTGTCCTCCGAGTTTCGGTTTAGCCCCTCAACCAGCCGTAGAGTTGTGCCACCAACTTGAACTGCGTGAACACATCACACTATCTTCATCAAGCATACGGGTTCTATTTTGCACACTCTTTAGTACTGAAATATGCCCGTGTTTCAACAAATTATCGAATTTCCCATTCACCCTTCCTCTAGTCGATATTTGATCCTACAAGCACATAGAACAAAGAGGTAGAGGGAGATGGGATCCCCTCACCTCAAACCTCTAGAAGGCACAAACGGCTCTGAAGGTAAACCCATTCAATTTGACATTGATACCTTATGAAGTGACACATCACATAACCATTTTAATCCACCTTTCTGAAAACCCCATACGGCTACATACACTATGTAGGTGGCCTCATTCGACTCTATTGTACACCTTCATCGTATCTAGTTTGAGAGCACACCATTTCTTTTTTGTAGTTCCGACACTGAATAGGGTATAAAAACTCGTAGGCAATAAAGAGACTATGGGTAATTAGGTGACCTGGAACAAAGTCACTCTACTCTTTTGAGATAAGAATGGGGTGAACCTTCTTCAGCCTGTTTGCCAACACCTTCAATGCTATTTTGTAGAGGGCTTTATAAATGCCGATTAATCAAAACTGTTTTGCCCCTAGGATTTATGGAATCAAAACTAGGATTTGTTGTTTAGATCTGCCAGCTAGCTCATCCTTTTAAAAAGTCCCTTACTACACCACATACATCCTTCCCTAACTCCTCCCAATGCTTATGATAAAGTAACGCCGCACGACTATCGTGCCCCAAAAGCCAAAATCTTTGTGGATCCTTTTTGTAATAACTCTATACTAATCTCCTCGTCGGTGATCTCTGCATCTAATACAATCGCCATTTTGTTAGAGACAAAAGCATGAATATTATTTTGGTTTTGGAGGTCACATGAATGACCATAAGTGAAAGGTTGTTTGACTTAATGTGACACACAACTTTCAAGTTTACCAGTTATTCGATGGAGCCATATCAAGGATGGCTTTGTGCAAGCAAAAATCTTTTGTCTTTTTTTCTTTAGAATCAAATCTTTTGTCAATACCTGTTCAGTTTGCATGCCTAGAATGGGCCCAATAGGCCTTACTTGTATTGAGCATGCCTAGTAGGCTTAATAACGTATACTTGAAGGAATTTCCTATTCGCCGCTCACTGCGGCAAATTGTCTACGATTCACACAAACGCACTGATGCAAGCGATGAGAGATGAGCCAACTTCTGGCATCTACACAGTGCGAGCCCTGGACCATTCTTTATGTTCTTTTCTTTTCTTGCTTTCCATTTCATTTTATTGTTATTTTTCGCTTTTTCTTTTTCATCTTTTCTGCTTCTTTTCTATTTTCATCTGTTCACATTCAAAAAAAAATGTGATTACATTAGAATGACCGCACTTTAAAAAAATCACAAATTTGAAAAATGTTCGTGTTATTTTTTCAATTTCAAAAATTGTTCGTTTTAAAAAAATGTTCACCGATTCAAAAAATGTTCGGGGTTTTCAAAAATATTCGTGTTGTGAAATTATTTGGAATTTCGAAAAATGTTCACATAATAAGTAAAATCCTATTTTAAAAGAATGTTCAAGAATTTCATAAAATGTCCAGGTATTCAATTTTTTTAAAAAAATTATGTGTAATAAAATATTTTCTTTTTGCTAGAAAAATGTTCAGGCTTCTGCTCCACCCACACTACAGTAATATTCTTTTTCAGGGGAAAAGTAATCTTTTTGTTTTGAGACAACCCAACACTACAATGATCGGGCTATATGTAATCTGAGTGCTAGTACGCACTCCAATTAGCCTACTGCCACCGGGCTGCTCTGTACGAACTGCTGGTATTGGCGAAATCACTAGTTAAGGCGACAAGGCATGCTGCGTGTGCGCCACTTGTCGCAATCCAGGTGTTTTTTCTTCTTTCATAGATCTGTTTATTCAAAATGTTTGTTTCCTTAAATCATGCGCCCGAATCTCGAACCGTTTTTGCTGTTGGATTCCTTGCGTCGAGATCTTCAAAACTAGATCTCGTGTTGATAGGTTTTGACAAACTTTTTTCGTGAAAGAAATCGGACGAAAAAAATGAACCGGGAGCATGGATTTTTTCCCTTTTCGAAAGAGGCACGCCCGTGCTTCTGACGAAATCACAACCGTGCCTCTCGCGGAAGCAAAACCATGACTCTCACGAAAGAAAAAAAGAAGAGAAAAAACGCGTTTTTTTCTGTTTCCGAGGAGGCATGGCCGTGACTCTCGCGAAAGTATAACCGTGCCTCTCGCGGAAGCAAAACAATGACTCTCGTGAAAGAAAAAAAATAGAAAACACGTTTTTTTTCGTTTCCGAGGAGGCACGGCCGTGACACTCGCGAAATCACAATCATGCCTCTCGCGGAAGCAAAAGCGTGACTCTCGCGAAAGAAAAAAAAACAGAAAATGTGTTTTTTTTGGTTTCCGGGAGGCACGGCCGTGACTCGCGAAAGCATAACCGTGCCTCTCGCGGAAGCAAAACCGTGACTTTTGCGTAAGAAAAAAACAGAAACGCATTTTTTTCCGTTTCCGAGAGGCACGGCCGTGACTCTCGTGAAAGCACAACCGTACCTCTCGCGGAAGCAAAACCGTTACTCTCGCGAAAGAAAACAAAACAGAAAATGTGTTTTTTTGGTTTCCGGGAGGCACGGCCGTGACTCTCGCGAAAGCACAACCGTGCCTCTCACGGAAGCAAAACCGTGACTCTTGCGTACGAAAAAAAACAGAAAACGCGTTTTTTTCGTTTCCGAGAGGCACGACCGTGACTCTCGTGAAAACACAACCGTACCTCTCGCGGAAGCAAAACCGTGACTCTCGCGAAAGAAAAAAAGCAGGAAACACGCTTTTTTCGTTTCCGAGAGGCACAGACGTGATTCTCGTGAAGCAAAACCGTGCATTTCGCGGAAGCAAAACCGTGACTCTCGCGAAAGGAAAAAAACGCGTTTTTTTGCGCAAAAAAATTATTTTTTCGGAAATTTTTTTAGTTAAAAAGTTAGGGAAGACCGGTGGAAAGCCAAAACGTCGAAAACCCCAAAAAAACCCGTTTAAAAAGCCAAAACGCGTGCGAAAAAAATAAAAAAATAAAATTCGAAGGGAGCGTCTAGAGCACGACACATGACGAATGATTGGCAGCGTGCCAAGTGGCGTTGATTTGTGAGGCTCCCGAAGGAAGGCTCGTTAATTAGTTGACGCAACGCCCGACGTGTAGCAGGTCATACTTGAGCTATCTTTAAAAAAAACGAAAGTGTGTTGCCCTAACAGAAGTGTGTGGCGAAGGAGTAGGTGAGAGTGAGACCGTGAGACCTAGCTAGGAGACGAGCTCACCGGCGAGAATCCTATGAACCACCCTAAGGGCCACTTCTTTTCAGCGATTCTCCCAGAATCGTCCTCTTCTCCAGCTTCTCCCAGAATCACCACTCTATATATTTTCTACAATCCTAAATAATTAAACCTTAACTAAATAGGATTATAAAAAATATATGAAGTGACAATTCTAAAAAAAGCTAGGGAGGGGGGCAATTCTAAAAGAATCGCCCAAAAGAACTGGCCCTAAACCTTGCTACAATTCGTATGTGATCCAATCTGAGACCGAGTTAGAATCGCTATCGCTGACAAAAAGCCCTCACGGCTCCTACTCAACGGACTTGGAGCAGCTGATCCGGACCTGCCCCGCCGACCCTTTGAGCGGCGCAAGCGCGGACAGCTTAACCATGGCGTGCGCGAAGTCCTCGCGGAAAGCCTCCTCGCCGCGATGACCGGACGCGTACGCGCGCACCCACCGCACGGTGCTCCCCGCCGTGAGCTGCTGGTCCGAGCGCAGGATGCCCCGGCCCGCGAGAAGCTTCGCGTAGTAGTGCGCGCCGAACCCCACTTCCCGGCCCTGCCGGTAGTACCCCATCTCCATCGGCGCCGCGCCATCTCCGCTGCACACGGCTCGCATCTCGCCGACCATGTCCGCGTCCAGGGAGTCGTCCGGCTCGCCGGTCCCGGCGAAGTTGTAGATCCTGTCCCTGAAGAATCTGCACTGCACCTTCCCGATGCTATGTGCTCCTACAAGCGGGTCGAGCCGAGAAGAATCAATCAATTAACACATAAATTTGCAGGGAGCTCCAATGGACAGACAAACGGACGGACCTAAGAGCGCGACGGTCTCGCGCTCGGTGAAGCCGCGGCGGGCGAACGCGCTGAGCGTCATGGCGTACGTGGCGTTCGGGGCTGGGATGTTCACGTCGTCGTAGAAGCTCCCGGCGCTGTCTCGGCGGCCGGTGAGCACTGGGTAGGTCGGCCCGCCCACCAGTACGAGGCTGTCCCGCGCGGCAAGCGCCAAGATGTCGGCGCAGGAGACGGTCCCCGGGCACTGCTTCTCCAACCTCGCCTTAATTTTGTCGACGGCGCCGAAGCCTCGCAGCGAGCGGTTCGGGGCGGCGTCTCTCTCCGACTTGCCGCCGCCGATCCGGTCCAGGAGCACCGAGGCGTCGCAGCCCTGCATGCGCGCGTCCGGGGACAAAAAGAAAACAGAGCACAGCGTCTTGGCGTGTGCGTACGTGAGCGCGCGCGTGCAGGCAGAAGAGATATCTTGATCTGCGGGACACGGAGTTCAGTTTGTACGTACGTGGACGAAGCAGTCGTGAAAGAACAGGCGCACGAGCGCGGCGGCGACGTTGGGGTCGGCCGCGAAGAGCTCCCGCACGGTGGACGCGATGACCGCCTCGGCGTTGGGGCATGTCCCGTCGTAGAACCCGAATGCCAGTTCGTCCGGCGTCGCCTGCGGGGAGGAGAAGGAGAAGGACGACGAGCCGTCGCCGTCGCCGTCGCCACCGTCGTCCTCCTCCTCCTCGTCGACCAGAAGCGCGTAGGCGGAGGGTCCGGCGTCTGTGCGGAGCTTGTCTGTGCACAGGACCAGCGAGACGGCGAGCAAGCAGATGGCTCCCCACACTGGATGTCGTAACATCGCTCCCCCTGTTCTACATTCGATTTTTGAGTTGGAGGTGTCGGAAGTTAAGGCGTCAAGGCGAGGAATTTAAAAACGGCGCGGGAAAATATTTTTTGCTTTGTGGGCCTTGGGGTGTTAGGTTCAGGGGAAGAATGATATACCAACCTGCTTTCGGATCCCTTTGATTGACTGTGTTGAATTTCCGAGGCTGTGGCTTGTCCTGTTGTTTGTACCAAAGTCTGATTCAGAGTGTTGATTCTTGGTAGCACCAAAGAATCATGGTTTTTCACTTGCGGTGAGGTTTCGTCAGAATTCACTAAAATTTCAGTTATTTTATTTAGCATTCAAAAAAGCTTTTGGGTTCGAAAATATATTGGCCACAACTGTAATCAAATAAATTAGTGACAGTATTTACATTTTGGTGAACGGACCAAAAGTTTTACTTGAAATTCAACCAGATCTTCATGCATTTTACCAAAAAAAATAATCAGATATTTGTGCAGCCATAGGATCCTGAATTCATGTCCGCTATTATTCGAAGAAAAAACATGTCCGCTATTTGCTGATGCTTAGCTCAAGTGCGTAAAGAATATTTCACCGTTTGGCAAGTTGCAAGACGGAGAAATATCTTCGCACCATTTTACGGTCATATGCCTGCCGACTGGACAGTGGCAAGGTGATGAAATAAATCAGTGACTCCGCAGCAAAAAAAAAATCAATGACGGCCACCGGTTCTCGTGTGAAGGATCGGTTTTTTAGTGTTTCTTGCACTGCGACAATTGCAAATCATATAAATTTAGCTACCACTTACATGGCGCAGTTGAACTAACCACCGATGCCCCGTTTTTGCATTGTAAAAGCGTAAAGAAAGGGAACCGGAGCAAGGCAAGAAATGTGATCGTCTTCGGAGTGTGGTTCCGGGACCCGTACGAAACGCACTGGTTTCGTTGCATGCGCCCCATTTGCAGAGGTACCGAAGTCGGAACAAATGCGTGTCGCAGCACAAATTCCACCGTGGATAAGATACGGAGTGAAGTCTGTTTTAAACCCTATGGTTGTAGAGCACGACGCAAAAAAACCTCGACGTCTAAATCCCTGAAGTCCATACCCCGTATTCATCGATCCTGGTTAATTTAGACCCCGAGTTTGTTTGGCGCATTGGGAAAAAGGCGATCCTGGCCCGGATCAATCGGTACTCTCACTGACTACATTGGCCAACCTGTCAGATTCATCTTCTATCCGAATCCTCCCCAGATGTGTGTATCGGTGGAGGCGGGGAGGTGCTGCCTCGCGCCCAAGGTGGAGCGGAGGACCGCCAGGAGATGACCGGCCGGTCTACAGCAAGCATGCATGGCGCGGCGGTCGCTTGCCCGAGTGCATCAGGACGCACGGCTCCCAGCGAAGAGGTCCTCCACTCCATGGGCAGGACCGCAGCAGCGGCACGATGGTCTCAGACAGGAGCGCGTCTCCTTGTATGCGTCTGTGGGTCTCTCCATGCCCCCCGATCACGTCGGCAGCGAACGCCTCCTCTTCTAGTACAGAACGCCCCCAAAACAAGCTGACTGTTCATGCCTTGTGTCATGCCACTCATCTCGATTGATCTTCAAGTGAATTTAATCCACACAGTTCAAATGAGGTGTTGATCTATTGGTGTGTCTTACTTGAGTTGGGTGGCGAGAAAGCCAAACTTGGTGGTGCCAAGAGACAGCGACGACGACGGACAGTACCACCGGTCACCTTGAGACTGGAGGCGAGTGTTGGGGAGAACTACGGCAGCGGCGCCATGTATGCATACGACACGCGACACCAAACGCTAGCTCGCAGCCCCGACGTGCTGTTGGCCTGCTGAACAAGCACATACTGCTGCTAGTTCTACCGCTTGCCGACGTTGGCTCGTCCAGCTGAACGAGCGGCGTGACGACGACTACTAACAGGTCGAGGGAGGGGGGGATCGTGGATGCCTACGGTCGCAGATACCCTTCGTCGTGTACACCTTGCTTACTTGCGGTCGACGAGCATGGCGGCCACCGCGAGCAGCAAGACGAGACGAGCGGCGTCAGATGAACTGCGCCGCCGCCCTGTTGCTGCGGCGGAGGATGGGGAGCCGCAGCTTGTGACTGGAGTACTGGACACGGCGGACGTGCCCTGGATGTCTGCGGTCTGTCTGCTGGGAGCGGCGCGACTTGATGAGCTCATGAGCATGGCGGGCGACCTCCGCCGTGCTTGCAGCCGCGCACACAGGCTCGGCGTCCCGGGAAGCAATGGGGAGCTACGGTGGCCGGCGGTCTGGTGCGGCAATGGACGCAGGGAAAGTGTTTGACATAATTTCAGAGAGGAGCCAGAGGAATGTGTACTTGCCACATAAGCGTATAGGCCCATGTGGTCAGTGAGAGAGACGAGCAATCCCGGACGGGATTGTCCTTCCAAATAGGCCTAGAGTGGATTTGGGGTTACGATTGACCGGGATCAATGAATACAGGGTATGGACTTCAGGTATTTAGACGTTAGGGTTTATTTGCGTCGGACTCTACAACCTCAGAGTTCAAAGCAGACTTCACTCTAAGATACGCTTGCGCGGATCGCTTCGATGGGCCTGCGGGTGTTTTGGTCCGAGGTGCCACCGCCACCGCCACGTCGAGTTCGGATATTGAGCGGCGGCTGCAGGTAGGCTCCGGATATGCACGCTCGCGCCGCGAATCCGGCTTGGCTTTCTGGTGGAACTTTGTTTAGCATGGAGGCCGAGACGCGGACGCCGAAGGACGGCATACGGACGCAGAGTGGTCGATCCAACGGCGAATCTTATCCAGAGAGGTCGTATCTGCGTGATGCAGATAAGCACGAATCTTTGTGCAGCCGTGATCTTTTACATCGATGAGACGAGACGAAGATGCGCGCATAGATGCTGTGCCTGTCGCCGTAATGCTGACAGAACTATTCAGCTTCAAGTAGTAGCACTTCCTTTCTGGCACATGCTATCGTGCAACATGAAGGAGGAATTTTATAGTAACAGTCTGCGTGTGTACTGTCTTCAAAAAGAAACGGAAATGTTAACACCCACACGTGTGGGCGTTAGCCACCTCAACCACACGCATCCATCACCGTCCAGCATCATATGCATGAATCTTGGTACAATCTGGACGATTTTCTATGCCACGTAGGATAAGGCGCGTGTGTGGTGCGTGACTTAGTTCGCCCACACGCCGGTTGCCCCTCCGCGGTCAGCGGTTGCCCCTCCGCGGTTAGCGGTTGCCATCCGGGGGTGTGCGGTGGAACTGCTCTGCGTCCGCACGTCACGCGCCGATCGTAGTTGACGTCAAACGCGTCGTGCACTTCGCCCCCCTCCCCCTCACGGTTCCATTCACCCCTCCCCATAATTACTCGATCAACCCACTTCGCATTTCAGTCGATTGGAGGAGAAGACGAGGGGAGAAGGCGATGGCGGAGGCGGAAGAGTCGGCGGCATTCGCGGCCGTCGGTGGTGCTCGCTGGACCGGAGCGGCTTCACCGGAGCAACTACAGATTGAAGGTAATGCTCCCTCCAACTCTCAACATCCCTGCCTGCATTTTCTCCTCTGCCCTTCGTGTTCGATGCTTCGCTGGAGATTCATATAGATTCAGGCGGGTTCGCGATGTGTCGGCGTTCCTGCCGGCGGCGGAGTCCTGTGCTTGCCGTTTTCCGTCGCACTGGGCAGTTCGTCGCCGTCGCGGTGGCGGTCATGCCGTTGTGATTCGTCCTGCCCGGAGCCACATACTGGTTGTGCCTTGGGATTGGGCTGTCGTTTTTTCTGTCTGATAGTTACGCATTGCTTCGAATTGTTGTTTGCGATCAGTTCGGAGAGAATTTTGGCGATGAATTTCAAGTCATGATAGTTGTCATTGAACCCTAGATCTAGGTAGTTGTTTTCAAAGTGCAGTTTGAAGGCAAACATGGTAGTTTGAGTATCTGTCATGACTGTGTGGCAACTAATTTACTGATTGACTGTGATAGTTGACACAAACATGCTTTCCATGTGGCAACTAATTTCCTAATTGACTGTGATAGTTGCCGCAAACATGCTTTCCATGTGGCAACTAATTTTTCCGATTGACGGTGATAGTTGCCACACTGTATGCACGGCAAAGTGTAGTAAATAGATAGTCATTGCATTTTCAGTAACCATTTGCTCTTGATGGCAACTAATATCCACATCAACTGTGTCAGTTGCCACATATATGTTTTCCATGTATCAACTATTAATGTGAACACACTGTGACTGTTGCCATGTTGTATTCAGGACAATGTGGCAAATTGGTTGTACTACATACCAAATTTTTGTGCTTTGCCACGCTGATTAGTGGCAAATGGCGGAATAATGTGGCATGGCAAAGTATAGTAACTAGGCATTCATGTCAGTTTTTAGCAACTATGTGTACTAGATGGCAACTAATTTGCACATCAACTGTGTCAGATGCCGTATATATGCTTTCCATGTGACAAGTTTTTTGTCTGAACACAACATGTCTGTTGCCATGTTATAGGCAGGATAATATGGCAATTTCTTTGTACGGCAGACCCAGTTTCATGTTTTTGCCATGATGACCTGTGATATCTGAACATTTTTTGTCCGTACTAAATGGCAACTCATTTTTGATATGAGGTCGGTGTGTGCGTTGCAATTTCAGGTTGTTTAGTACATGTTTTCATCGCTTTTTTGAATTCTGTGTTGCATTTTTAACATGGCAATTTTAACTTAGCACATGTTTGCCATTGAACACATGGCAAGTCATTTTTGTATGAGAAGATGGTGTGAGCTGGCACATCTTATGTTTGTGCAGTGGGAGATTTGTGGCTTTCTTTCGTAATATATTGTGCTAACATGGCAAGTTCAACATTTTGTTTTTAAGTGCATTACGATCTGTATATTTTTTCAAATGAAACCAACGTGCTTAATTGCCACATTTATGTTTTCGACAATCATAGGGGGGATGCGTGTGTGTTCATGTCATATTTGCATTTACTAGGTGTCATTTTCAATCGA